TTCCTGCCTGTAGGGTCTCTGCTGATAGCCTGATGGGGTTTCCTTATAAGTTATCTTTTTTCTCTCTCTGGCTGCTTTCAGTACTCTCTCCTTGTCCTTGATCTTTGCCATTTTAATTATTATATGTCTCGTTGTCTTCCTAGAGGTCCTTGTGTTGGGAGATCTCTGCACTTCTATGACCCGAGTGTTTTTCCTTCCCCAGATTTGGGAAGTTTTCAACAATTACCTCCTCAGAGAGTTTATCCCTTTGTCTCTCTCTTCTTCTTCTGGTACCCCTGTAATGTGAGTATTATTCTGTTTGGATTGGTCACACAACTCTCTGTTTATTCTTTCTTTCCTAGAGATCCTTTTTTCTCTGTTTTTCAGCCTCATTGTTTTCTTGCTCCCTAATTTCCAGATCACTTACAACTTCTTCAACGTGTGAAAGCCTGCTGTTATTCCCTCCATTGTGTTTTTCATTTCATATACTGTATTCTTCATCTCTGAGTGACTTCTTTGGAGGTCTTCTTTTTTTTGAGGTCCTCCTTGAGGTCTTGGATATTTTTCTGTAGATCCATGAACATGTTTATGACTTTTACTTTGAAGTGTTTATCAAGAAGATTGGTGATTTCTGTCTCACTCAGCCCTCTTTCTGGTGTTTTTTCTTGTAGTTTTGTTTGGACCAAATTGTTCTGCCTCTTCATTTTTTTTTTTAGTGTTTCTTATGGAATAATAGCTTTGTGAAGGAGGCACTCTCTAATGCCTAGAAGTTTGATTTCCTGTGTGGGAGCCCCAGCTATTGGCATGCAATGGGGGGGGGCACCTTACTGGCTTGTACTGATCTGATTTCAGGTGGGCTATGTGGGCCATCAGCTGGTCATGTGAGAAGGGAGAATACTCAGGGCTGTGCCCCTGGAGTGGCTGTGGGCAGAGCTGCCCTCCACCTGGCCTGTGGCAATGGTGGGGGCTAGCAGACCGGCACCTGCTAGGAGGAAGGAGCTCTTGGGGCTGGCTCCTGCAGTACTTCCCCAGCTGGCCTGAAACTGGGCCGGGAAAGCTGAGAGGGTCTTCCTCTGCCTTCCTGGCTGCAATGCCTGCCTCCACTACCAGGTCAACTGGGCCATGTGTGCAGGGAGGAGCCTCGGTGCTGCACTGCTGGAGCTGCCAGGGGTGGAGCCCCCGCCCCCCCCCACCCCCGGCCTGCTGCAATGGCAGGAGCCATAGGTGCCTGCTGGGAGGAAGTAGCTCCTGGGGCTAGCTCCCACAGACAGTTCCTTGGCAGACGGGGAGGAGAAGGCTTGGAGGGTCTCCTGCCTATCCAAGAGCAAAGTTTGGTTTCACTGCTAGCTAGCAGGCTGCGCACCACAGGGAGGGGCCTTGAGGCTGCAGTGTCAGCAAGGGGGATGGAGCATCTGAAGCTCCTGAGAGTTCCTAACTGGTTCGGCTGAGGGTGGACTGGGAAGGTATTGTCCACCTGCCCTTTCTCCTGAGCAGAGAGCCCTGTGTAACACTTGCTGCTGGAAAGTCTTTCCGACTGCCCACTTTGCTTTTGTCTCAGGGGGCTGGTAGAGCATGCCTGTTCTCCACAACAGGCTGGAATCTCAGCCTCCCTGAGGGTTCCCCCTGTCTCTGTTGTCCAGCCCCACTAATCACCAGAGCGCCTTGTAATGTGGGTTTCATGTTTCCGGAGCACATCTCCAGGGCCAGATGTTCAGCCGTCCTGAGCTCCTACTCCCTCCCCTTTCCATTTGTCTTCCTCCTGCCTGTGGGCTGGGGTGGGGAAAGGGCTTGGGTCCCAATGGAGAGTGGCTTTGCCACTTTACCCTTTTCTGTGAGGTATTCTCTTTTTCCCCAGATGTAGGTAATCAGTTCTGGAGTCTTCAGGTTGTTTTCAGGTTTAGTTGTATTTGCTGTATTTTCATGTTCTATATGAATTTGGGAGGTCGTTTCTGCCTTGCCTTCTTTATTTACACTGCCGTCTTTTTCCCTACCCTTGCTTTTTAAAGCCAATTTTGAGCCTCAAAAATATTTGATATTTTTTTGTCAAATATGAGATGTATTTAAAAAGATCTTAATCTCTAAAATACATAGAAGAACATTATCTAAGAAAACTGTTTCAATATTTTAATCCTTTTCTCCCTACCTCACTTTAACTTTGAGAAATAATTACATGATTACAATTAATTTCTTTTAAATACTTCCAGTTATTATGAATAGAAGGCTTATCCTGAGTTCGCTTTCATAGATTCTGTATTTCACATTAATTTAAATAGTATCTTTTTGTCTTGTGATACGGTTTGAATGGCTGATGTTTTTTCATGCAAAAGGTTTCTTCTACAAGAGCATATCATTTAAAAATGAAGTAGTTCAGATGACTAATAAATATGAAAAAAATTTACTCTCACTGGTTTAGTCATAGAAATACAAATTTAAATAATATATTGCTTTCCCTTCTAATAAGAAACATTTTGTTTATTAAACTGAGGGAAAATTATAAGTACTCTTGAACATAGCACTTTCTGGAAATTATTTTGAAAACAGTACACATCAAAACCTTAAAATATTTATACTTTTTAACATACTATTTCTACTTGGAGTCTTCTCCATGAAATAATCCAAAATACAAACAAAAATATAGAGAAATAATTATTGGCAGTTTTATTCACAGGCAAAAAGTTGGAAATTATCAAAATGTCTCATATAGAGGAATTGTTGAGAAAACTCATGGTATACTATGTGTATTAGTTTCCTAGGGTTGCTATAATGAAGTCTCACAAACTGGGTGGTTAGAATAACAAAAATCTATCTCTCACGGTTTTGGAGAGAGTCTGGAATCCAGGTGTCAGCAGTGTTGGTTTCTTCTGTGAGGGAAAAATTGTTCCTTGTCTCTCCCATACGTGGTGATGGTCAGTGGTCCTTATTAGTCCTTGGATTCGTTCTGAGTTTTTACTTCCATCTTCACAGGGCATTCTTCATGTGTCTTTGTGTCTTTATATCTTTTTATAAGGATACCCATCTTATTGGATTAGGGGTCCAACCTACTCCAGTATGACGTCATCTTAATGTCACTGTATCTTCAATGACCCTATTTCCAAATAAGATCACATTCTGAGTTACTGGGAGTTAAGTCTTGAACATACCTATTTTTGAGTGATGCAATTCAAACCATGACCATATGTGATAGAATGCTAGGCAGCTATGAAAAATAATGTTTAGGAAGAGTTTTTTTTTTTTTTAAATATGGAATGCTTCACGAATTTGCATGTCATCCTTGTGCAGGGGCCATGCTAATCTCTGTATATCGTTCCAATTTTAGTATATGTGCTGCCGACGTGAGCACAGAAGAGTTTTTAAGGTTATGGAAAAATGTTTTTCATAAGTGAAAAGGCAGTAATCAAAATTGATATATATATATATATATGTATATATTAGTATCTCAGTTTTTGAAAATAGGTATTTTAGAAAGTCAAGATGACACTCACAGGTGAATACTTCTTGAAGTAAACAGTTTCACTTTTTGGTTTTCAAATAAAACTAAGTTAACTTCAGAGAAGTTAGGAAAAAGTGTTTTTATTAAAACTTACATGGCGTCTTACTTTTTAAATTTATTCTCATTTATCAAGATGTTTAGGAGACTTCTGTTGTGGCAAAGTGGGAAGCAAACTGGCACACTTGCTTCACTTGTAAGCTCATTGCATCTGAATTTAAAAATTAAACACTTTTTTGTATATTATTTTATTGATGTGATGCTATGGCTTGAGACTCTGAAAGAAAAAGATAGCTTCTGTGGTTGGGAGTCTCATACACACAATTCTGACTACACAGACATAAGCATTACAATAAAAGTGAAAATTTGGACACAATATCTAAAATATCGGTGTTAGTTGCCCATATATCTTGTCTTTTCAAAAGGCAAAAAAAAAAGCTTCGTTGACTATTCTTCAGTTAAAACAAAATTTATTTATTTATTGTTTTGGTATCGTTAATGTACAGTTACTAGACTCCCCTATTATCAAGTCCCCCCAACATACCCCATTACAGTCATGTCCATCAGCATAGTAAGATGCTATAGAATCATTACTGTCTTCTCTGTATATACTGCCTTTCCCGTGTCCCCCCCTGCTACATTATGTGTGCTAATCTTAATGCCCCTTTTTCCCCCTTATCCTTCCCTTCCCACCCATCATCCCCAGTCCCTTTCTCTTTGGTAACTATTAGTCCATTCTTGGGTTCTGTGAGTCTGCTGCTGTAAAACAAAATTTTTTAAGGCAAAAGCTTTTCAGAAGGATGCACTGAAAAAGGAAGTGTGTAGCAAAAAATGATCTGGTGTCAGGAAGATATTAGCCCATGGTGAGCTGAGGTTTTAAAGACATTCAAGGTAACAAAAAGAGCATTTGAAAACATGGAAGGCACTGACTTGCTGCCTGACACAGATGCTTATGAGAAGGGGTAGGACCTTAAACTCATATATTCCTTATGGAGTAGAGTGATTTTCAGATTGTAAAGATGTACCAGACATCACCAGAAGACAAATTGAAGCCCAAGATAGATGGGAAGAACATTAAACAAAGGATAGTTCCTTTAAAGAAATAATTCAAATCTCTTAATAAGGACAAACTGGATTTTGGGTACTGAGAGAGCTTGCATGAGATTTTTGATCCACTTTTATTAACAGTTGAAGAAGTGTGGTGCTTAGGAAAGATGCCCCAAAGCCAGATTGTAAACAACCTGATTTTCAAAACAGCAAAAAACTATGTTCTGGTGAACTTGGTGCTTATATTGACCTTAATTTCTGACTAAGTAATTAAATGGATGGTATGTGAACCCAGGATAAATTCTGGAAAAACAAGTTATGGCCATTCTCATTTTCCTTTACATTAAATATTTTTTTTATTGTAAAAAAAATTAGATCTGCTTTTCTTAGATTATAAAATGTTATTTCACTTGGCTAACATTGGCATATCACCCTTTTTTGAGTCCTTTTGTACATATATTTTATATTTTCTTGTTTTTTTTTTTAGACCATTGAATTTATGGAAACTTTTGTGTTTGCTATTAAACTCCAAAGTCTACAAACTGTAAGACTTGTATTTAAGATTCAAACCCAGACTCCTAAGAAGAAAACCATTGGAGAATGCTCACTATCACTCAGAACTCTTAGCACACAGGAAACGGATTATTCTTTGGATGTAACACCACCTTCAAAAATATCTGTAAGTGATAGTATATAATATTAAACGTGGATGAGTTTTTGTCTGTTGAAGTATAACTTGAACACTAGAATATATTCTAAAACAGTAGAGGATCAGGAAGCTCTCAAGCAATAATAAGAGTAATAAAATGTCATTGTTTTATAATACTTTTAAAATAATTGATAAAAGATTATCAGAGCCCATTTTCTTTCTTCATTGGAAAATAATCTTAGGGTTACCTTTCTAGTACATTTTTTGTTAATGTTCCATACTTCAAGGAAAAATAACCCTGAAGTATAAATAATTTCAAATTATTAATTAGTTTTTAGCTTTTTTGATTTTTTTAGTAGCTGATAACTTAGGAAAAGCAAGAAAGAATCATAAACTCCAAACTCAATCAGATTGCCTTGAAACAGGTCAGGAAAGTTGTTTAAATGATGAGTAAGCTATATGTCCATAAATTGAGTAGAATGGAGGTTCTTCGAGCTGATATTTTTTGTGAAGAACTTGATTTCATCTGTAGTGATGTGTGACTGGTTTTTAAAACTTGTTATTTGCTTCTCTCAACTAGAACACTGTCTTTAAATTGTTTTAGAAATCCTTAATAATTTAATTATATAGTTTCTATGTCAGGATAACATTTATTATAAACTTATATAGGATTTATATTTTAAAATACATACTTTCAGAAATATTTAAGGTGACTTGAAGTAGTTCTTAACCCTGGCTACACATTACAGTCACATCGGGAGCTTTTGAAAAATGCCCACAGCTAAACCATTTAAAACAGAGTATTTTAGGGAGTGGGCCAGAGGCATCTGTAGTTTTCAAAAGCTGCCCAGGTGATTCTAATGTGTAGCCTGGCCTGTGAATCACTGAATTGGAGGGGAAATTAGGAATTAAAAAATAAAAATGAAGGATTACTATAATGAGTCATAAATAAATTTGATATATTATTGATCATATGTAAATTTTATAATTATTTCTTGGTCATTATTTTCTGTGTCTATTCCCAATGTATTTTCTTTATAGCATTTTTGCAGTTTAGGATTATTTAAGTTCCTTGTTTTAAACAAAACAAAATTAGGCTTGAGCTTCTATCTGTTTTCTTAATATTTTACTGTGCTCTTAGTAAAGGCCTATCATATTCTTGGCATTAAATATTAACATGTAGATAGATAGGAAAGAAGGAATGATGAATGAAAACATGCTAAATTTAGATTATTGTTATTTTCTGTTTATAAATGTAGCAAATTTGCTTTTAACTGACAGGAGCTTGTCACTTGCTTGTAAAACTAGATTAGGAGACAGTTAGTGGCAACCATATTTCACAGAAGGTACACATACACCATTCAAATGGATAATTCATATATTAAAACCTTAAAGACTAATAGAGTGTCTCAGAAGATAACTCAGAGAAAGTTCTTCTGGGTCATTGATATTATATCTTACCTGCCTTGGAGAATTGGAATGAATGATATGGCTAAGTTTCCACCAAATTACATTTCATGTATCAGAAGTCTTATACAACATTTTTACATCTGTTTTATGCCAGCTACCAGGGATACAAAGATTGATGGCCTGAAAGAAGAGTTTTCAGACTCTATTGGACCAGTGGATTTATATTACTGAATATGAATGTTTCATGTTATTGGCTAAAGTGAGAATAAATATGCTTTGTTTCCTGTGTTGAGGAGGAAAATTGATTTTATAATTGTGACATTGAAAGAGCCAGACTTACATACCCAACCTCCATAGTAACAGCTGTTACCACAAACAGCAGAACTTTCATGTAGAACTCGTATTTTCCTTAATGCAGTTCTTGACCTTGTGAGATGGTGTATTTTCTTTTTACATATACATATATATATATATATTTAAGTATATATTTTACATATAAAAATATAATATATATATAAAACAATATTATACACAGCAGTAATAGTAGTATAATACCATTCAGGTTCCCAGACCCAATTCCAATGTGTGTAAGTATGTGGGAGGGGGTCTTCCCATGCATACTAACACCAAGCAATATTCAGAACACCAGCAGGATGTTGGAGAACTCAATTCTGATGCTGTCTGTCTGGAGACAGCACCAGATTCCCTAGGTTCAGGGCTCCGTCCTACAAGACTGCCTTCCACCCCCAACTCTAGATGCTGGTCACAAGCCATAGGCAGTTCCCTGTGCTTCTGACCTACCGGCTACAGATTGGAGGTTCCAGTGACCTCCCCCTTAGGTTCAATTAATTTGCTAGATCTGCTCACAGAACTCAGGAAAAACACATTTACCAGTTTAATGAAGGATACTGTAAAGGATACAAGTTAACAGCCAGATGAAGAGATACATAGGGCAAGGTCCCCAAATACAGGAGCTTCTATCCTAGTAGAGCTTGGGGCCTGGCTCTGTGGCATGTGGAGGTGTTATGGTTCCCCAAGCATAGAGGCTCTCTCTGACTGAGAAGCAGGCTCCAACCCAACAGAGCAGGGAGCAATAAGCTCTTCTCAGGGGTTTTTGTGAGGGCTTCATTGCATAGTCATGATTGACGAAATTATTGGTCATTAGCTGATTCAGCCTCCAGCCCCTGCCCCTTGGGTGGGGATCCAAAAGTATCTTATTAATATGACAAAATACCCATTTCACCTTTATAAAACTCTGTAGTGTTTTCAGGAACTGTGGGTGAAGACAAATATACCGGGGAAATACATATTTGGTCTTATGAATGACCAAATATGTATTTCTTATGACTCATTATATCTCACCTTGACAAACAGTAATGTAAATCCTTACTTGAGAGCCTAAATTTCTGTGTTGAATAATGTGGAGGAGACAAGGTTTGCCTGAAGAAATAACTGACATTTATAGAGACTACTGTGTCACTGACTTGGTCCTAAGTGACTTAAAGCTCACACCAAACGTAAAGAGCTTTTGTTATTCCTGTAGTGGAGACCAAAACATTGAAGGACTTAACAGAGTTCATACAGAAACCTGGGGAGCCAGGATTTGAATGGAGACATTCTGATTCCAGAGCCAGCTTTTTTAAGTCCTCCATGTATTGGTGATATTCTTAAGCATCACCAGATCATAGCTTTCTCTAATTATGGTTAACATGTCACTTTCAACAATTACAGGAAGGCTAATGAGATTTCCTTTTCTTTAAAAAAATGGCATGTTATTTAGAAGTAGAGGTCATATGTCTTCTCCACAGTTTTGTGCTCATTAAAAATGCACAATACATATCAGCTAATCAATTAAAGTTTCTATTTTGGGGGTATTATGAGATTGAAAACCACTCTGAAGAGTTTTTCATGATCTGAATTAATATCCTGAAATGGAAATTGATTTGTGAAGTAAACTTGGCAAGTAAGAAATGACAAACCCATTGCCACATGCTGCTCTGGTTTATGAGAGTGAACTCTCCAGGTGTGTAACACTAAGAGGAGTTTTGCCATCTTTGGATATTTTCATGTCTTATTGCATGTGGGTATAAAACCATAATGAAAAATTCATACCATAGTTTCCTTTTTGTTTTGTAAACAACTGTATTTTTTAGGTGAATTTTTTTAAATGCCACGTACAAGAACATTTTCATTTAGCAAAGGTTTTATTTTGTACATGGCTACTGAATTAGTTCATGTGAAAAGATGTTTTAATCCATTCTTACATTGATTAGAAGCAGAAGCAGTGCATTCACTTATTCCTCAGAATTCAGCATTTGTTGCCAAAATAAACAAGTTTTATCATCATTTTAGACTTTTCAGGGTTGAGTGTAACCTCAACAGTTGAGTTTGTGCTTTTAAGTGATTCAATGTTCACTGTCTATCCTTTGGTTTCTTATGGCATGACCAATTAATTTTAAAACAGTCATGTTTTAAGAAAGTGCCCAATATTCAGTCAGTGATGTGTACGTAGAAAGGTTCTTTTTTCAGTATGAGCCATGAGCCAATTATTGGGCCATACTGGATGATTATCAAACATGAACCTCTTCATGAGGTGTCATTCAGCTCTTCTGTAGCTTTGTTGGAATCAATATGAGCCAAGACTTTTGTGTCTGTCTACGCTCAGCCCTAGTGAGATCTGTTAACATTATGTTCTTTGTTCCCATACTTACTCTGTTCAACATGTGAACAGTAATGTTTTTGTATTTGGACAACTTTATGTTTCTCTCTTATATTTTTTCCTCCAAGGACCTTGGAATCCACAGAAGTAGTCTGGCTTTGTGTTCTATATCACAAATTACTGATTTTCTTTTGCCGTTAGTCAGCAATACTGAAGAGCACATTTAACTTTCCTCCCTAAGTTCCTTCACTTTATTGTTTTCCTCAGGTTTTCCTTGACCTTTTCCTTATTATTTACAGCCCGATCACTTTCACTAGCTCCATTCTTGCCAGCTTTCTTCTTTGGCTTACTTTCATTCAGGATAGTAAATACAGCTTTTAATCCAGAAATTTGTTCATTGTTTTCTGATTTGGGTAGTACCTACTCTGATTTCTACAATTAGGGAAAATAATGACTCTTGTATGTATCATTGCTTATCATATTTCATATGTTCTGAAATAATTCAAATGACTATCTTTAAATCTTTTGAAAGTAGTCTTTATCTCACTGACATTTTCTGTAGTAAAACTGCTTAGGAATTCATTTTGTTTTACTTTGAATTGTCTTTTGGTTTTCCTGATTTTGAAGGATCAGTATGTGGATATATTTTGTATTTTCATAATCCATGAAAGTGAATACCTCATATTTATGGGATCAATGACATTTATCTTAACCATCTCTTGTGACATATGGCTTTATGTGTCAATGGAAAGCAATGCTTTCAAAATTTCTGATGTTAGCTCTTTATTTTGAAATATCCGCAAACTTTATTCTTAATTAGCAAATGATACTTTTTTTTGAAATGCAGGTTTGCCATGCAGAACTTGAATTGGGGACTTGTTTTCAAGCAGTAAATAGCAGAATTCAGTTACAAATTCTTGAGGCACAATACCTTCCAAGTTCATCAACACCTCTGACTTTGAGTAAGTATATCAGTGGTTCAAGGTACAATCTTCATAAAATATTAGAAAATATATTTTTTCCTACACTTAATGGAGGTTAAAATCTTAGTTACTTTTATTATTTAACTTAAATACTTTTAACTTAAAATTATTTTATTGTATTTCAACTTTTAGCCATTGTGACTACTTTAATCTACTGGTCTCTTGATTCTTATCCAGTTTTGACTTCTCTGCATTTCATGCTATTCCTTATTTAGCTCATTAATTTATATAGGTTGAGTGTCCAGAGGACTGTCAGATCTGTTTCACCAAGCTAGATAATTTTTCCTTTCTCTAGGTCTGTGCCCTTTTTTGGATATGCAGCTAGTTAGAAACTTAATTTAAAAAAAGCAAAAATATAAAACCTTAAAACGTTTTTCTTCCTTGTGCATTTAGGCACAACCAGGGGTTCTGATACTTTGTCTTAGGCCTGGTTCACATGGCCACCGCTAGGGCTGGAGATATGAGGTAATCCTACCTAAAGAACTAAGAGTGGGGAATAAGGGTGCTCCTTTTTCCTACCAGAAGAAGAAAAAACATCTGGAGGCTGGCGGCTATATTGTAACTACACAGACTGAAAGTGAATGTGACTGGGCATTCAATTCAGGAAGCTAGGAAGAAACAAAAAACACAAAGGAAAGTAGAAGGAAGGGATTAAAGTCTAAGTGGATAAATATGGAGAAAATAACAAAAGACATAATAAAAAAACTCAAAGCCTTTTCTTTGAAAAGATCATTAAAATAGAGAAACCTGTAGTAGGTTGGATCAAGCAAAAAATAAACATGAACAAGGAAGAGGATATAATTTTGAATTCAGAAGAGATTCAGTAATAAATGACAATACCATTTATAACCATACTAATTCATTTGAACATCTCTATGAAAGAAATTACTTTCTAAGAAAAAATTGTTGAGATTTACTCCAGAAGAGGGATAAAATCTGAATAAAACAGTTACCCTATGAAGGTAAAGAACTGCTTCTACTGAACGCACTATGCGAAGACGATTTTACTGGAACATTCTACCAAAATTTCGAAGAACATATAAATCCTGTTCTACATAAACTTCCAAAGCATGAAAAAAGATGGAAAAAGTACCTTTATGAGGTTAGCACATTCTTGATATCAAAGCAAAGTGCACAAAAAATAGTTATAGACTACCATTACTTATCTAGACAGATAGAACAATTATAAAAACTAAGCAGAGGGGGGAAAAACATGGTGAAGTAGGAAGACAAGGTGGAAACCTCACACACACGAAGGAAGTAACTATAACAAATACAACTTAACCTGAAAATGAACTGAAGACTGCAGAACAGACTACCTACACCTGGTGAAGAGGAGACCACACAGAGATGGGTCAAGTAACAGAGCCATGATCAAGTGGGACCAGGCCCTTCCCCTATCCTGGCCCACAGGCAGGAGGAAGAAGAACAGAGTGGGGAGGAGATAGGTGCTCAGGAACTCTATACACCTGGCCCTGAAGATCAGATCTGGGAACATGAGTCCACATTACATTGTGTCCTGGTGTTAATGGGGTTTGACACCAGGGACAGTTGGAAGACACTGGGAGGCTGGGGTTCCATCCACTTGTGGAGGACAGGCATGCTCCACCAGTCCTGCTGAGACCCAAAGCAGAGGTGGCAGTTGGGAAGATTTGCCAGCAGCGGGAGGGGTACTAGAGGGGTAAGAGGGGTACTCTCTGTGTAGGAGAAAGGGCAGGTCAGCAATACTTCCCTGGCCCTCCCTTGGCCCATCAGGTTCGGCACTCTTAGGAGCCCCAAACACTCCATCCCCCTTACTGGCAGCTGAACTGTGAGGCTCTTTCCTGCACACCACCAGTTCCCTGCTCACTCAGCCCATCAGCATCAGACTTTGCTGCCAGTTAGGCAGAGGGAGGCTTTGAGGCTTTCCTAGCTTTCTTGGCCCTGTCTCAGGTCAATTAGAGAGACAACTGCATGAGCCAGCTCCCAGTGAGCCTTCCTCTCTGGGGGTGGTCAAGCCCAGGGCTAAGAGCCTTGCTGCCACCAGGTAGCACCTATGTGGCTTCTGCCCACAGGCCCTGCCACTGCAACACATCTGTTTCAGAGCCGTGTTACTGCCCTGCCCACTCATCAACCCAGCAGCCCCACTATTGCTACAGGGAAGGCAGAGGGCAGCCCTGCCCACAACAATCCAAGCAGAAGTCACTGCTCTGATCACAAAGGGCAGGTTGAGGCAAACTTCTGGCCACAGCAACTGAGATAGACCACTGCCAGCAGACAGACAGAAAGGCAGCTCCACCCAGTGCCCACCAACAGCAACTAGGGCTCCACCACAAATATATAAAGGGAGAAATACAGAAACCCTGACAAAATGAGGAGGCAGAAGAATATGTTCCAAGCAAAACTACAGGATAAGACCAGAAAGAGGGCTAAGTGAAATGGAATTCACCAATTTTCTTGATAAAGATTTCAAAGTAACAGTCATAAAGATGCTCACTGATCTGCTGAAAAGTATTGGAGATCTCAGGGAGGCCTTCAACAAAGAGAAGAGTTGGGAGAGTCACTCAGAGCTCAAGAGTACAGTAACTAAAATGAAATAATACAATGGAGGGAATGAATAATAGATTGCTGCAAGTGGAGGAGACGATGAGGTGGAAATAAGAAAGCAGAAACACAAGCTGAGGAAGCAAAGACAAAATAGAATCTCTGGAATGAATGACGAGGGCGTATGACAACTCCAAATGAAATGATATTTGCATAATAGCAGTACCAAAAGAAGAAGAGAGAGACAAAGGGATAGAAAGTTTCTTTGAGAAAATAATTGTTGAAAACTTCCCTAGTGTGGGGAAGGAAATAGACACCCAGGTCATGGAAGCACAGAGAGTCCCTAACAAAAGGGACTCTAGGAAGATAGCACCAAGGCATATAATAATTAAAATGACAAAGATTAAGTATAGGGAGAGAGTATTGAAAGCAACCAGAGAGAGAAAAAAGATTACTTACAAGGGAAACCCCATCAGGTTATTAAGTAGACTTCTCAGCAAAAACTTTACAGGCCGGAAGGTAGTGGCATGAAATATTTAATGTATTGAAACAGAAGGACCTTTAACCAAGACTCATCCATTCAGCAAGATTATCATTCAAATTTTAAGGAGAGATTAAACATTTCCCAGGTAAATGAAGGCTGGAGGAATTTATAACCACTAAATCAGCATTAAAGGATATATTAAAGGGATTTCTGTAGTTGGAAATGTTCATAGGCTTAAATAGTTCTCACCAGTGAAAATAAACCCACAGTAAAGGTGTAGACCAATTACTTACCAAGCAAGTATGAAATTAAAAGCAGAAAACCAACTATATACAAAATCAGTGAAGGGAAACACAAAAAATGCAGATTATGACATCTAATACAAAAAGTGTGGAGGGGGAGAAGAAGAAAACAGTACTTTCAGATTGTGTTTGAAATAGAGCACTCATCAACTAACATGGCCTGTTAGGTAGTCAGGAAGCTATCCTTGAACCTACTATGGTAACCACAAACCCAAAGCCCGTAAGAGATACATAAAATAAAAAGAGAAATCCAGTCACAACATAAAGAAAATGATAAAATAACAAAAGAAGAGTATAAGAGATGAAGAAAGGAACAGAGAGGAACTATAAAAACAACCAGAAAACAAATAATAAAATGGAAATAAGTACATACCTATCAATAATTATCTTAAATATAAATGAACTGAGTGTACTAATCAAAAGATATGGAGTGGCGGAATGGATAAAGAAATGACCCATCCATATGCTGCTTACAAGAGACTCATTTCAGACCCAAAGACATACACACACTAAAAGTGAAGGGATGCAAAAACATAATTCATGCAAATAAAAGGGAGAAAAAGGCAGGAGTAGCAGTACTTATATCAGACAGAATAGATTACAAAACAAAGAAATTAACAACTTATAAAGAAGGATATTACATACAGGGGTCAGTCAAACAAGAGGATATAACCATATAAATATCTATGTACCAAATACAGGAGCACCTAAATGTGTAAAACAGATGCTAACAGAATTAAAGGGGGAAATAGACTGCAACTCATTCATTTTAGGAGATGTTAACATGCCATTCACATCAATAGATATCCAGACAGAGAATAAATAAATAAACCAAACATTCTACCAAACATTTAAAGAAGAGCTAATATCCACCCTGTTTAAAATATTCAAAAAACTAGAAGAGGAAAACTGGACAGCTACATGCAAGAGAATGAAACTGGATTATTGTCTAACCCCATACACAAAAGTAAACTTAAAATGGATCACAGACCTGAATGTAATTCATGAAACCATAAAACTCTTAGAAGAAAACATAGGCAAAAATCTCTTGAATATAAACATGAGCAACTTTTTCCTGAATGCATCTCCTCAGGCAAGGGAAACAAAGTAAAAAATGAACAAATGGGACTACATCGTGCTAAAAAGCTTCTGTACAGCAAAGGATACTATCAGCAGAATAAAAAGGCATCCTACAGTATGGGAGAATATATTTGTAAATGACATATCTGATAAGGGGTTAACATCCAAAATATATAAAGAACTCATACTCCTATACTCCTCAATATAACCCTATTAAAAAATGGATGGAGGATATGAACAGATAATTCTCCAAAGAAGAAATTCAGGTGGCCAACAGGCACATGAAAAGATGCTCCACATTGCTAATTATCAGGGAATGTAAATTAAAACCACAATGAAATATCAGCTCACCCAGTTAGAATGTTCAGCATAGAAATGACTAGGAACAACAAATGCTGGTGAGGATGTGGAGAAAGGGGAACCCTCTTACACTGCTGGTGGGACTGTAAACTAGTTCAACCAGTGTGGAAAGCAGTATGGACATGCCTCAAAAAACTAAAAATAGAAACACCATTTGACCCAGGAATTCCACTCCTGGGAATTTACCCTAAGAATGCAGTTTCCCAGTCTCAAAAAGATATATGTACCCC